CGCGGTGGGGGGGGGGTGCGGGGGGACGGGGGGGGGGGGGGGGGGGGGTCACAACTGTGGGTACCTCAAGTGTTTGCAGGGTCCAGGACATGGGAGCATCAGCTCGTCCTCTGTGCACCCCTCTCATGCTGTGTGAACCCCCCACCACTGTGCCCAGCAGCAACTCCCTGCCCAGCCTGGGCACAGGTTGTAAGTTCACAGGTTACAAGTTCCTGCAAGTTTTTGACCTCCATCTTCCTCCCCCAACCCCTCCCAGTCCCTCAGCCCTCAGAGGAAGGGTCAATCGAGAGCCAGATGGGAAAGGCCGTGGGGAAGAGCGACGTTTGGTTCCGCTTTAACGAGGGGGTTTCCAACGCAGTCAGGAGGAACATCTACATCAAGGACCTGCTCTAGCAGGTCCAGAGGACACCCTGGAAAATGGTAAAGCTGGAACTGAAGGGAGAAGCTTTCTTTGGCTTTCTGACCTAGGGATGGGACATGTGTGCATGATCCTTGTTGTTCTTTTTTTTAAGTACCTGCTTGTTTAAAAAAATAATAATAAAAAAATGTATTAAAAAAATCATCATGAAGTTACTGTTGTGTTTATTTCATTTACAAACCCGTGGTTGTCATACCTGCTTTGCTGCAAAATTATATCCTACAGTATACAAAAGAATATTGAAAATGGCTGAAAAATGTTTCGTTGTTTGGGTTTTTTTTTTTATAAAAGTTTTGTTCATTTACAAGTTGAAAAAGCTGCCAGGGTGGTGGGGGCAGAGGGGAGGGACTGGAAGCTGCAGCCTAAGCCTGGAGACACCTGTGCTGCTCCTCTCCCCCCACCCTGCCCACCCCCCCCAGCAACCTCTGTTAAAAAAGAAGCACATCTACTACTAAAAAGAAGAAGACAAGGGTAGGGTTTGTGTTCAGGTAGTCATATTAGGAATGGTAGCTAATAAAAAAGTGCACATTCAGTGTTGGGGGGCAGCGAGGGGTGGTGGGGCTGGCGGGGGCAGGGGGCTGTGTGTCCTCCCCCCTCAGAGGATGGTGCATTTGCCTTTTTCCACCCAGGGGTTGTTTTTCATCAGCTCGGGGTTGAGGAAGGGATCTTCTGGAATGCCATCCTCGATCCACTTGACAAACCTGCGGAGAGGGGAGCAGAGGGGTGGGCACCGGGCTGGGGAAGGGGCTGCCAGGGACCCTGGGCAGGGGGTGGGAGCTGCAGGGTCACTCACTCAGGTATTGTCTTGGAGGACATCTCCCGCTTGTAGGCCAGCTGGTACTTCAGGCTTTCCACCTCCTTCTTCCACTGTGGAAGGTCCCACTCATCCATGGCAGTGGCCGGGGGCTCCTCGGGGCTGAAAATAAGGGAGTTAGTGCCATATTCCATGGTTACAGCCTGCCCTGGCCCCCCTGCAGCTCAGCATTCCCCAAAAGAGTGTCCCCCCCAGACTGGGGGCTGTACCACCATGCTCCAGGGGTTGTTTTTCATGAGGCAGAGGCTGCACTTACCTTGGGATGTGAGGTCAGCCTGGCAGGGGTGGGTGCCCAGCACTGGCTCCTTGTCCCCAGGCTGTGCTCACAGGCACATGCAAAACCCCAGCAGCAGCCACATTTGAATGTGATTTGAGTGCTTGGGGTGGGGAACAGCAAACAGCAACCAGGAGCTATTTGGGGGGGGGTGTGGGTATTTGTCTTACTGGGATGGCCCTGAGGGGGGCAAGAAGGGATTTTTAGGTATCTGCATGGGCATCCACCCTGCCCCAACCCCCTGCTGCAGTGGCCCTGGGTCCCAGCTAAGGGTGGGGAAACTGAGGCAGAGCAGCTGATGAGCATTACACGAGACCTTTGGGAGCACCTGGCTCCCTGTGCCACCCCAAGAACCACTGGCACAAGGGGACCTTCCCATGCTCGTGGTCTGTTGTGCCCCCCCCCCACAAACCCCCCAACTCTCCAATGCTGCTTTGTACCTGAACCCCAGG